GATTTCTCTTTGCAGAGCCTGGGATGCCATCCCAGCAGGGAGCCCCCAATCGCTCAGTAACCAAGATTTTGTTGTCTCTGGTTTGACAAGGTCATTTTTTACTACAGGAGGAAAAAATCCCACATTAATTATACAAGCAAACTGGGGCCAAGGCTGTTGGAGTTGGCCTCCCACTTCCCAGGGTGGGAGGAGGAAAGGAGATTGGTTTGCTCTGCAACTGAGGAGTGAAGCCAGAGGAGGAGAGAATATATGTGGACTGTGGACCTCTCAGACCCTCAACATCTGAGATGTGTATGTGCTGTCAAATTTCTGGTAGTCTTTAGAATGCTTATCTACCTAAGAGTCTACAAAGAGACCGACCAAGGACCATACATAATCATGCCTGCATCGATTCACTCATTCCACACACATTTATAAACTACCTATTAAGTGGCAAGCAGAGTTATGCATTGAGATGGAAAATTTCAAAGAAAGATAGTTGCTGCCAAATTAGTGGTTCTTATAGTATCATATTGGGGCTGGTTCTTAGTAACCTAGGATTTTACCTTCCCTGCCCTGGCCTCACAAGCCAGGTGAACATATCATTGTTCTTTCACAGAAAATCCTTGTATCCTTTCTGGTAAACTTTCATAACAATTCTGCAGACCCCAAACTATTCTACAGTCTTGTCTTTTTGACTTAAGATTGATCAAGTTTCCTGCTATTATTCTGTGTCTGCCCACATCTAGCTTCTAGGGTAAACAACCTCCTCCACCTAAGGCTGGATCCTTAATGTCCTCTACAACAGTGCCCTAAGTACTTTTGATGCAGAGCCATGAAACAACACTAACAGAGAGTACCTGTTTCCTATGGCATCAGCTGAAAAACTCTTCCAGAACATCAGCATAACATCATGACACTAGGACCAAGGTTCATTTCCAAATTCTGCTATCTCTGAACTGATGAAAATTAGCAAATAACTTAATCACTCTGAATATTTTACCCCTTATTTGTAAAACATGGATGGAAGTAAAACCACTCATAAAGAAGTATTGAGACCCAAGTGAAATGACTCATGTAACATATACAATAGGATAACTGTGGTTGGCAACAGTTAATTAAACCTTCTAAGTAGGTAACAGAAAGGATTTTGAATGTTTCCAACACAAAGAAATAGTACATGTCTAAGATGACAGATACGCCAATTACTCTGATTTGATCATTATACTTGGCATATTGTACATACCCCATGTATTGAAATGCCACTGTATCATATATATATATACATATATATATACATACATACTTTTTTCATTTATTTATTCCTCTTTCTGTCTTGCTTTCAGCAGATAACATGACAGTATGATTTTTTAAAGATCACAATTTTCTGGTATAAATGTAGTATCTTCTTTTTAACTCCTTCTTTATTTTAATAAAGGTGCATTTCTCTCAATATCTCATAATCCTTTTCATCCTCAGTTTTTTCTTTTCTCTTTGCTTTGCAAGATGCAAGACAATCTCCTTTAACTCTGTTCTAGCCAACTCCCTGTCTACTTCTCCAGCTCTATTTGGAACTCTGGTATAAACCTTTCATGCAGCCATTTCTCATCCATGTCTCTAGTCTGGAATGTTATCACTTACTTTCTTGCTTCTTGTGGTACTTTTTTTTAAATTTTGATACTGGGCATCGAACTCAGGACCTTGTGCTTGTGAAGCAGGTGGCAGAACCACTGAGTTAAATCCCTGGCCCCTGCTTCTTATAATTCTACTTTTCAATCAATTCTAGTTCTTCTAAAAGGTCTCTGCCTGCTCAGCCATTAAACTACCTCTCTGCCATTGCATTATAAATCACTACAAACCTAGTGGATTAAAACAACATAATTTATCATCTCACAATTTCTGTTGGCCAGGAACTGGACACAGTTTAGACAGATCTCCTGTTTCAGGATGTCTCAAAATACAAACAAATTTCACCCAGGGCTGAGGACTCATCTGAAGGGTGGACTGTGGAGGGATCTGCTTCCTGCCTTGTGTAATTGATGGCAGAATGTTATTCTGCAAGAACTGCAAAGATGACCGAGGGTTCAAGGTTCTTACTCACTGCAGCCTCAACTCAGTTCATCTCCATGGAGACCTCCTCAGCATAGCTTTTTGCTTAAAAGTCAGGGAGACAGTTTAACAAGATGAAATTCATAATCTCATATAACCTGATCATGGAAGAGACACCCCATCAATGTTGTAATTCTATCAGTTGGGAGCAAGTCTGGGGTTCTGCCCACACTCAAGGGGATGGGATTGCAGAAGGATGTGAACCCTATACTGGGGATTGTTGGACTGTCTTTGAAACTGCTGCCACTTTCTCTTTCCCAAATTGCTTCCTTATTCCATAAACTATTTTAATCATGCTTTCATAATATATGGGAGAAACTAAGAGAGAATAAGATATGGCCACTTCTGTGTAGTCTAAAAGAAAGCAGACAATGCAAAGAAGTCAGAGGTAAAATTCCTAAACTTGCTGCTTATCCCCAGTTTAGAGAAGGAAGAAAAAACATGTTTGGAAAACTAATGCAAAGTTTACTAAAGAGGGGGGCAACACTTGAAGCCATAGCAGATACTTGGAGGACAGGCAAGACCCAAAAGAATGGGAGAAACACCTTCTAGGTAATAGCAAATCCAATGGAGAAATAGGTGTGAAAGATGATCAGAAAATAGGAACTAGTCTACTGCAGCATAAATACTCATAAATACTGCAAAGAAAAGGCAAACACAAGAACGTATCAAAGCGGGCAGCTAAAGATGTTGCGGTCATTGGAATAAAACAGAGAAAAGACATGATTGCTTTATCCTCTGCTCTATTCTGAGCTCCCAGAATAGGCACGAGATACAATCTGATGCTGACCATCTTAGAAAAATATGTAGAATGTAAGATGACCAATGAAGGGAATTACAATTGCCCACAGAAGAGAGACTCAGAAGGGCAAAATCAGGCTCCTGGCAACCAAGTCTCATAATAGAACCTACCTCATAGGGGCACTGAAAGGACTGAATGAGGCAGTACCTTAGAAGTGTTTGGACGAAGCTTGACACAAAATAAGTTCTCAACAGGTGCTAGCCATTATTTCTTATCATCATTCATAATCTGCCTTACCTGGCTTTGCCTGCTTTAACTCATGTCCTGGTGTTTCTGTACTCTTTTCTGGTCTTTCCTGGCTCAGAAACACAGTGAGTTTGTCTTCCCTGTTGACCCTAGGTTCCACCTCAACCCCCAAGGCTGCCAAGCCAGCTTTTTCTCCTGAGTCTCTGCCTCTGATGTGGTTCTGTAGGAGCAAACCAGAGCATCCCCAGCCTGGCTGTCACCTTCAAGCTGAGCTCAGCGCTGAGCTTTGAGGGTGAATGACTGACGCCCTGGTCAGCACTTTATTGTGGTTTCCTGATTGGTTCAGGATGGCTTGGCCTTTGCTGCCCTCATCTCCAAGTGAATTCCAAGTCTTGCCAGAGGCTGAAAAGAGAGTGACTTAGTCATTAGCTCCTCTGGCAACAGCCTCTGGCAGCAGTTCAAGGCAGCTTAGAAAACAGGGCAACAAGTGGCTGCAATATGTATTTCAAAAGCCTAGCAGACAAGGAAAGGAAATGAAAAGCAGCAAAAACAGGGATAGTAATGTCTGAAACTGGAGGTACATCCAGACACCACGGGGCACTGAGAGAAATGCTCCCAGGCCCTCAAGGTAAAGGAGGTGAGAGGACAGGACCAGCAAGGAGCTTTGGATGAATAACAAAACTTAGGCCCAAGGCTTCTCTTACCTTCATTTATGTGCAAGGCAAAAATGAATAAAGACTTCCTATGCATCCTAGAAAACCCCTGCTATGGGAACTCTGTTCAGAGTACAGGAACATGCCCTGTCTTGAGCCAGCTTAGAGAACTCCATTGCTTCAGACTACTGAGATCCAGGACTTTCTTGAGCTGGACCTTTTGAATCCAGCCTCCTCTCCTACGGAGAATGCATAGGGAACAATGCCAAATTACTTTAAGTCTCTTCCATCAATTCTATCTTTGGTCATTTGACTGTTACATGAAATACATGCTAATTGTATTTCACAGATGATGGAGGAAACTAAGGACAGAAAGGTTGTATAACTGTTTTTATTATTTGCCTTCTGCCCATGTGACCAGAATACAATTCTAAGAGAATTTGAACTATCTTTCTTATTCATTATTTTATTGCAGGTGTCTAAAAATGTCCCTGGAATAGAGTGGATGCTTCAAAACCATCTCCAATGAGCAAAGCTAGCAAAGATCACACAGCTTTTAAACAATGCATCCCCAATTCTTATTCTCTACACCAAATTTTCTCCGATTTGTCATATTCTGATGGAGCTTGTGGCACTGATAGTGTTTGAGGCAAGAAAGAAGAAAGGCTGTGGGCTATAATTACATTTCCCCAATTGAGTTTCAAATTTGGGAGCTTGTAAGAAGAATTCCTATAAAAAGTGAGATGATGACATATACATGTGGTAATGCCTCATGTCCTTCTATGGGTGACTTTAGACCTAAAGGGAGGTAGGGTGGGCCCCCAATTACCTCATACGTTATGTACCATCCTCCCTTTTATTCACCACATGCCACTCACACTGAATTGACTTCCTTCTTTCCTTCCTTCTTTCTTTCCTACCTTCCATCCTTCTCCATAGTCAATTGTCATAGATTTGGGTGAGTAGAGTATGAAGGATGAGAACAAAATCTAGGCCAGTCAAAAACCATAGTCACATGAAAAAGTGGAAATAAAGTCTTTGTAAACAGGGAGGGATGGAGGGCTTGAAGGGAGGGCAGAGGAAGGGGGAAAAATAAGAACCAAGAGAGACTATGTAAAGGTGCAAATTTCCAATGATGAATGTCATTATGTTGTATACCTAAAATGTACCAATAAACTTAAAAAAAAAAACTATAGTCACAGACTGCAGACATTCTCCTTTACTTTGTGCTGTTTTCCTACTTGTTTTTCTTTTCTTTTTTTCTTTTTGAGGCTGATGCCCTTCTAGAAGCTTCTAGGTCTTCCCAATTGTGTGGAAAGGACTCCAGCTATACAGCCAGCAAAGTTACTGCAGAGAAAATGGCTGACACTGAGGACAAATTCTGGACGCCAAAGCTTATTCTCACTCAAGACAAATAAGTAGAAAATATCAAGCAGGGCATAACCCACAGAAGGGACAGTCATGAGAAGGTAGGTATCAGTAAGTAAAAAATAGTAAGGTGTCCCACAATGATGCCTTCTCTGGTCTCCACAGTAGTTGCTTTTTCTCTGCAGACAGCCTGCCAAGGCCCCTTCCGGCCACCCAAAACCTTGGAGCCTCCTACATGTGTCACCTGGTGGTGATAGTGTCTCTTCATGACAGGAGTTATTGCTGCCATTTCCAAAGCTGTAGTGTGGGAGAGACCTGAGACCAAGTCAGGGGCATTGAATTCTTCTAGCACTCTCTGTCACAGGTGATAGAACACATCACAGTGAACCTGCAGTGGGCCCCTTCTTTGCTTCACTCCTATGTCTGCACTTTCACCTCAGATCACATTTACTCATCTTAATCTTGCTAGTCCTGTACTCTTTTGCCTTCAGGCTGTCTCCAGCTTCCTGAACTCATGTCACCACCCAGAACCAGGTCAGAACTGCCAAGAATTAATACCTCCTGGGATTAAGCCTCAGTAAATGACTAAAAGAACAAAATGTATAAACCCCCCCTTGCCCTTCTCTTCTAATATAGACATATTTTCACACTGGCCCTTAAAGTTTTCCAAAGAGATAATACTCCAGTTATGCACAGTGGATGCTTTCTGAATACCAAGACTTTTATTGCCTTTCTTCCTTCCTTTGTCTCACTTCTCTTCCTCCATGCTATTGTTTCCCAGTGTTACCTCCAATATAAAGTACTTACACTTGAATCCTTGATTCAGTCTGCTTCTGTGAAAACCCAAGCTAAGACATTAATTTGAAAACATAATGGAATTATTTGGTCTACAAAACAAGAAAATTTATGTTAGTTTCAGGAATGACTTAATTAAGAGATTAGTAAATGTAGTCGTTATCTTTCAGGTGTGGCTCATGGAAGACACTTACTGCATCATAACCTCCTGCATAAGACTAGGAAAGATGCTTATGTTTGGCCCTAAAAATATTTTTGCAGCTTTTATAGTTCAGTATATCAAATAAAGAATTTCTATATCTCTGCATCTGAATATTAATTTGAAAGAAGGATATGTACTGGTTCTGTGATTCTATGTTCATCCCACTGTAAGAAGCTGGGAGACCGACATTAACTTCACTACTAAAACACTTGGAATAGGAGGAAGAGGGTTCCACATAGGGGATTACAGACTAAAAGCAAACTTTTAAAAATTAAAAATGCATCTGGCCATGATTCCATCCTAACATGACCCCTTGGAAGAAGGACTAAGTTGCTAATATAATGGGCTTCATTTACAGTACCTTACCACCCTCAGACTATGCTCAAAGTAGATACTGCTAATCACGCAGGATACTCTGTTTGAGCCTAAATGTGTTCTCAGAAACAACTCCAACAGGCTGAGGCATCTCCACTACTTCTCTAACCGTCTGTCTTTGATAGTTCCTACATATCTACCAGACCTGCACAATGCTGATACTCACTCTCTCAGTACCCTCTGATAGGTATGGCCCTCACCTAGAATGAGAAAGTAATACAACAGTGCACATAATATAGTTGAGAAACAGTGAAGTTCTCCTGGAAAGCCCTGAACATCCAATTAATTATGTCATTTTACTGCCATCTCTCCAATTAAATTGGCAATTTAAAAATGAGATTAACATCAACTTAAATGAGATTCAAATAGTGGTTCTTGAATTTAAAGCTGATTGATCTTAAATAAGTCATTTAACCTCTCTGAACCTTACTTTCTTTAAAATGTGGATGATAATATCGGTTTATCATTCCCTGCTGTTCTCATTGGAGTATCCCAGCTTCTTAAGGAAACTCCGGGTTAGCCACTTTTGACTCCTTATCACACTGATTTCCATAGTATGGTGTGCAATGATGGATACATGTGCTGTCGCTCTCATGTCATGCATGATCAGTTATTTATACCCAGTAGATTAATTATAACACTTTTTCCTGATAAACTCAGAGAAGCCCTCAATATTCTTCTCAACATGAGGTCTTGCCTCAGTACTGCGGGGAGATTAGCCCTAGAATAAACACTGTGCAAGTTCCTCCTAAAGCTTAACAAATCTCAAAAGCAAGATTGAAAAGAACAAAACTATTTTCCAGTAACTTAATTCAGAACAACTTTTAATACACACACACACACATATCTCAAACATCCAATAATACAAACTTCACAATTGCAGTCACGAATTATCAGGTATATGAACAAAAAGTAAAATGCTGAGGCTAGGTGTGGTGGCACATGCCTGTAATACCAACATTCTGGAAGCTGAGGCAGGAGGATTTCTGCGAGTTCAAGGCATATAGTAAGTACAAGCCAGCCTGAACTACACAGTGGAAAAAAAATTTTTAAGCAAAATAATAAAAGTAAAACAATAAAAACTTCCCAGAATTGACACACATGTCCAAATTAGCAGACACAGACATTAAAAGTAATAACATTTTTCTATTTTTAAAGACTAAGTAGAGAAAGGACAGAAATGAATATAAAACAAATATTTACAGATAAATCTTTAAGTGTTTGAGAAAAAATTTACAATACCTGAAGTTTAGGCACAACTAAAAATAATTAGTACACCTGAAGGCATAGCAATAAAAACCATAAAACAAAGTACAGAGAGAAAAAATTCAGAAAAAACATGAAGGCATTAATGACCTATAGGACAATATCAAGTGACCCAACATATACCAAATTTGAGCATCCAAAAAAGAGAGTGAAGGTGGCAGAGGAAAAAAAAAAATATTTGACAAGGGCTGGGGATTTAGCTCAGTGGTTCTGGCTCCTGCCTCTACCTCAAATTTGATCCCCATTACCAAAATAAATACATATTTGACAAACTAAAAACCAAAATTTTTTTCCAATTTGATCTAAACTATTGATATACACATATCAGAAGCTGTATGGACCAAAAATATGAAACACAAGAACTATGCCAAAATATGAGTCAATTTTTCAACATCAGTAATTAAGAGGAGCTTTAAAAATAGACTAAGAAAAGGAACCACACCAAAGAGCTAAACACGGAAGAGCTAATATAAAAATAACAGCAAATTTCATAACAGAAACATGACAGACACAAGATAGCGGAACAAACTTTTGAAGTAATTAAAAAGGTGAAAACTGTCAGTGCAGAGTTCTATACCCAACAAAAACATCCTTCAAGCATGAAAGCAGAATGAAATTTTTTTCAGGCATATAAACATTGAAAAAATTTACCACCTGCAGATGATAAAGTTATACTACAAGATACAATAACAGAAATATTTCAGGCACAAGGAAAATGGTTCAGATTGAAATATACATTTAAACCAAAGTATTTTAACTGTTTCTTATTATAATCCCCTAAGGAGTCTTTTTAGGCTTTTCTTCCT